TAGAGTTACTTGCTGAATACTTGCATATTTACTCTTTTCAGGATCACTCATGTTATGAAACTGTATGAGAAACAGTCTTTTATAATTTGACTTTATCGAACTATTACCAAAACAAAAATGTGCTTCCTTTGCAAAATCTAACAAGTAGCAAACCATGAACTTGAAAACTATCAGTGAAAATTATCCAACCACTGATGTAGTTGGCTAAAATTTATTTGTGCTACTTTAAGGATGGTTGCCCAGGAGGAAGCCAAGCTGCAGCAGTCATTACGGCATTGAACATTACAGCCAATCTGAGACACAGGGGAGCACCAAACACCACAGTGCATTCCCTGATGCCAGCTGCTCCTTCACCACTACAACTACAATTCCATTCTCTAAGCCAGATACCAATTATCAATGAAGTAAAAGGAACACTGCTCACTGCTTTTATTTGGAAGAACGATTTCAACATTTAGCACAAGTCTTCTAACATTATTTTCTTTTTGACTCTTTCAGCTACCAACAGGAGGTCTGCAGAAATTACTTGTCCTCCAAAGTCCATCTCTGAGGCAGAGTTATCAAAAAAGAAAAGCATTAAGAAGACTAAAGGTGGAATTAAGGTAGGAGTCCCCAAGTTCTCAGGACATGCTGTACTCCAAGAGAATTCATAACAATGTAAACATGTATTTACATATTTGTATTTATTTTTAAGATTTCTCAGAGGCACAAGATAGATTTCCCAGACTTCTCTGGTTGGCACTATTCAAAAGACTTTAAAAATAATGTCTTCATCATTGGCTTCAGGCAGAAAAAAACCCAAAAACACAGTATTTCAGAGCCTAAGGAACAGACCTTTATGCCTACGATTATCTACCTAAGGAGATGAATTCACTTCTTATTGTGAAAGAACCCAAGAATAACTTTGCACAGAGTTAAGAATACCCCTAACACCAATAGAATTGGAAAACTAGAGACAAAAGATACTTTTTATATATAACTTGCACATCTAAGCAAATTAACTTATCAAGTGACTCACTACACTGGTTCTGTATTACATTGGCTTGTAAAGAATTAAAATTCTCTCAATAAAAGTATGAGCAACTAAGTATTTTTGCATTGTATATGCTTTTTGTTCAGATTGAAGTGATGCATGAAGCGAGTCAAGGGGGATCTAGCAGAGTCTTGGTTATGAGTGAAAGCGATGAGAACCTGTCGACGAGGAGGAGGTAAGGCAGCACACGTCAGTCACTGCGTTAGTCGTAAGTCAGTAGACAAAGATACCATTATCCAATTACTAAGATCATCTCACTGTGTTCAAAAAACTCATACTTGACTGTATCCCTCTGAGAAGCTTTTTTTTTTTTTTTTTTAATTTAACTGATCGTCTTCTAGTCTCACTTCCTAGTAACTCTTGGGAAAGATTAATTATGCCATCTAAAATACCAATACTTTAGTTATTTAGTTTTACAAGTAGTGTCAAGCAAACACAATTTCAGTTGATCTGCACTGTCTCTAGGCCAAAGAAATAGAATTTGAAACAAACAAAAAAAAACCCTGCAGCAAGGCTACCAACCAAACCCCTACTGATTCAATTTCCTTTGTTTTCTTCAGGGTAACTGAGATAATTTTTTCTTACGTTACGCCTCTGTTTCACACAGGTATAAACTTAAGTTGTTTGATACGAGAGCAAGAGGTTGTAACAATATGCAAATCTGAGGCATACAAAAATGAAACTTACTGCTATCTGAACTTACAGCAGACTCAATGTATTTTCGTAGGGCATAAAAATTATGACTACCACTGGTCACCAAACTATCAGCTAGTTCTCAGAAGGTACAAAATGTGTTACCTACCAAAATAAGTTCCATTTCAAATCACGTCTGTAAGGTAATGACTGTCTAAGGAGAATGTGTAAGTTCATGTTAAGAATAGGTTAAGCTTCTGATATTTCGTAGAATTTCACATTCATAAACCCACTAAACAAATTCTTTAATTGTCTCCTTTCTTGGGAACATCCATTTTACCTTTTGTTCCATAAAAGTTTTGGAGATTTAGTGTAAGGTCAAACAACAAAAACAAAACACAAAAAACCCCACACGGTACCTCTGAAAGGACACTCCCTCATTGTCCTCAAAATAACATCTAAGCATCAGAGCCAAGCTCATCAGTTACAAAGAAAGCAAGAAGAAATTTCTAATATTTGTTAAAAAAAAAAAAAAAGGAAAGAAAAGAAACAAGTCTGTTTATTCAAATCAAATTTTACAAAACAATTGTCTTTCTGTGGTACAGAGCAAAGTTTAAGAATAAATATTGAATACTTTGTATAAAAATTAGTAATATCAAAGGGAAATTGATGCAAATCAAACAAACAGGTAAAAACAATTTTAGCATTAAACACGCTGTGCAACAATGTCAAACTCTTAATGAGGCATGACCATTCAAGCTGATACAGTTTTACTTGTAGATGTAAAACCTGACAGCCCTGCATTGGAGCACCAAGATGACTATTAAAAGAGGTTCTAGTTAAAGGTGTACGAAGGTTAAGTTGGTGTTTAGAACCAGAAAGTTGGTTTTCATTGTGTTTTTTTTTTTTGAAAGAAGTGCATTCATAGTTTTCTTTTTATTCATAAGCAGCTTCTTTTTTCACTGCAGCAAACAAAAACGCAAACTACAAACACCAAGGCCCTTTTAAGAAACAACCCAAACAAAATTTAAATTACCACAAAACAGCATATTTCAATGGTCAAAAGTGAGTTTCAAATAACAGCAAGCTCTATTTAAGTAGTGTTTTAGATGTTACTTAGGTCACTATAGAAGTTTAAGATACTTACAACTTGAACTTTGCTTATATGAGTGAAAACAAATTCTAACGCACACTTAGGCCAGAAAAATTGTAGTCTTAATAGAAGACTTTGGTTGTATATAAATTTCAAGACCCTTTTTCCCCTTAAGTGAGTGGGGAGGCATTTCCAGTTGTGCCATTTTACTGTGCATCTTGTTGAATTAAATGGCCTGCAATAGGTCCTGGATCTGATGAAGAATTTTTCCTTCAATTACTGAACACGTTCTGTGTGCATTCCCCCCACCTGCACCTACACAAGCCAGCATGTTACAGATCTAGGTTTGTTGTCTTGTTTTCTTAAAATAATAATAATAATAATAATAAATCCTCAGTTTGTTTAGGGAAGAACATGAACTACATTTGTTTTTTCTAGAGTACAGTTGTTGCAGTCCAATTATTTTAATGCTGATAAATGTCTTTGTGATCTATATATACCTAACATTTTGTCCAGTTAGAATTATTATTTTCCTCTTGGAAAACCAGTTGTGAAGTTACGTATTCACTTAAATCTAGTAGCTACTTAACATCCATCTGAAATGGCAGTGTCAGGAACAGTCAGCAAGCTCACTGCTGCTTTTTTTTTTTTTTTTTTTAATCAGTGCTAGCCTATACCATTAGCATTCAAATCATTAAAACCGCAGCACAGCTCATAGAACAGCAGCAATGATTTAAGCAATTTACTATGTACAGATTAAAACTGCCATGCCACATACAACTCTTCTAAAGTGAAGTTAGAAGACATTAAATGCTTCACTGCTCCACACAGCAGCAACAAACTTCAGGCAGAGGATAAAAGGCCAGCTTTAGACTTCTCAGAAAGCAAGGAGCATTGCTTCTATAGGCAGTACATTATCAGCAGATCCCAAGACTGTGACTGATCGTTGGTACCCTGCAAGTTCTTGGGTTGCATGTTCCTACTTGCTGATTGACTTGACTCATTCAATCTTTCAGAAGTAGTTTTTAGTGACATTACCAACACTAACTTGTTCCAGTATTGAATCAGTTCACAAAGAGTATCTGACCGCCCTTTGCATAGCCTGTGCCTGCTCCAGGAAGAGCTACAACCGAGTTACCTGTCCTGTGAAACTGTAAAGACATTTACTAATAAGTTATACAAGTTATACAAGAAAAGACTGCAGACATCTTAGAACCATTTTTTTTTTTTAAACAACATTTTGATGGCACAATACAACTCAACACGCAGAGTTTCAGCACAGGAATTTAGTTCTTCCTGCATGTGATATTAACAGTTAGCTCTATTGAAGAGACAAGGTTTTGGGGACAGAGACTACCCTGACATTGTAAAGAATCTTTTCTCTTCAGGAAAAGACTTGAGAAATGTTTTAGTGATTGTGATTTTGTGTATTGAGTTTCTGTGGATCACCATCTCTCTAAGCTTTCACCATGACATCAAACCTTTGTGCAGAAAACATTCTCCTTATTTAACAAATGCTAAACATGAAACTTTGCTCTTTAAAAAAATCACTAACTGCTTCAAATAGCTATAGATAACACTCTCAAGGAACACAACTATGACTTTCACTTGCTTTTCACCTTCAGGACCATGAACAAAAGAAAACAGAACCACTGTTAGAAGAAAACCAGTCTTAAATGCACTTAGTCTATTATCTTATTAAAGCCTGGATTGCTTAAATATACAGCTTAAGTTTTCAGAAGACAGAGCTTTGACATAAACACTAGATTTTCATCCTTTCCAGTTCACTTCTGATCTAAAGGGAGCTCATTCGCTACTTAGAAGAAGCAAGTTAAAGGGCACTCGGAACTGTTTCTTTACTTCAGAGATAGAGGGGGCTTTGAGAAAAAGACTGTAGCAGGTCTATATTTCCTGTACTTTCTCAGTTGTGCAGGTCCAGGCATATTTTCCATGAAGCATTGCATTCAAAAATACTGAATATATGTAACCAATTTACATTGCCTTGAACTACTAAATTGAGTCACAAGTTCTCCTTCCTCTCGTTTTGAAAGGTCTGCTTCGTTCTCATGCAGTAGACTTTTTTAAAAAAATCACATGCCTTAGCTTTTTAAAAAGAAAAAAAACCTTAGGACTTGTGATATTTTTACCAACCATTTCAAAGTCTAGAAGTCCATTATAGTTCATTTAACGATCATATAATTCAGACTCTCATCTTGTG